GCTGCTTCTGTCACCTCTTTTGAACAATAGTGTTACTTGAGCTTCTTTCTAATCAGACGGTAAAGTTCCTTCGTTCAAGGTTTTTTGAAAGAATACTGTCAATGGGCCAGAATACAGAATGGGCCAGAACGGTTGCTAATTCTTTGAGCAATCTGGGATAGAGGCGGTATGGTCCACATGACATGTTGGGATTTAGAGCTACCAGGCGCTTTTGAACCTTTCTTCTTGTATTTCAAAACCTGTTGACTTCGAGCCGATTAGGCGCTCCTCAATATATGGAATACAGTTCAAGTCCTCATCTGTGAACACACTGCTGAAGAACTAATTAAGAACGTTAGCCTCGCCCTCATCAGAGGAAATATTTCGTTGGTCTACTTTCAAATCAGATATACCGTCCTCTGACTTCACTTCGAACTAGCGTACAAAAGGAAGGCTTACGGATTATTTTTGCATTTTTAGAAATATTTTTTTCAAAGTTTTCCACTGCAGTGCGACAGACTTTTTTGGCTTGATTTCGAGATCTTGCATACAGGTTATAATCAGAATCATTGCGGGTCCGAAAATAACGCTTGTATAGGCTTCTTTCCTGGTCTTTAGCTGAGCTTTAACTGTACTGTTCATCCACTGGGATTTTTTGACTCCTCCAAGCGTAATCTTAGGTACACAGGCATCAATTGCAGACATAACCGTGTCTTTCAGAAACGACTTAATATCGTCCGAAATATTCGCCGCAATCGCCGCTTCACGGAGTTTATCATAGTCGCCTTTCGCAAAGTTCAAACGTTAACGCTTCCGAAGCTGCTTATCTGCACAGCAATTATTACTGAAAAGCAATGATTGGTGATGGCTTTTGCACAACGGAGCCTCGTGTCGAATATCATCTATCATTGATTCTTCACTAGTAAACACAAGATTTAGAATATTTGGGGTCTGTTTGCCCCTAAAATGGGTTGGCTTGGTGATATTCTGGATTAGAAATTAGTGTGGCACTGACTCCAAGAACAGATATGCTGGGTGATCCCAATCCCTCGGAGAAGATTCATCTGCCCAGTCTATTTCTGGATGGTTAAAGTCACCAACGATCAACGTATGCGACCTGATGAAAGTCGTGCTCGGTGAAAGGCTGTTTAGTACTTTATCGTTATCAGAGGAGCTGTTAGGTTATCTATAAAGGACCCCTATGAGGAGGCTATCCTTTCCTTTTATAGTAAGTACGCACCACACTGATTCTCTAGCTGATTGATGATCTGCAGATAGCTTAACTTGCTGGGCCCCATAAGAGGTTCTAACCCGCAGAGCTACACCTCAACTGCACTGCTCTTCATTTAAGTTATGAAAACAGTCAAATCCTGGCAACTGAAATTCAACAGGTACAATTTTCCCACCGGGATTTTTAGAGAGTGTTTCTGTAATACAAATAATGTCTATACACTCGTTTGCGATCACAGTTAACAGTTCATTTTTTTGTTCAAAACAGAATTCGAGTTCGTGTAAAAACATTTTGAAACTTTTTGTGCACTTTTACTTTGATTTATGCGGTAAATTTTTACATTACTTACAGGTTTGGAACCATGGACATGACTTCTACTGTTTACTTGTCTTCCAGCTCCGCTAACTGATCGTGTGCTGCCGGTGTTAAGTTGACATTGCGAGAGTGGTTGACCTGATTTTCCGTGCTTTTCCGCCTGATTCTCTCCTGCCATTTCCTGCTAAAACCCTCTCTCTTTCTATAGGGGTGAAATCCTTTACAAAAACGGAGTTGTACTGAGAAGATACTCCAAGCTTTCTCGCTGCCTTCAGCACGCTCCCAACATGTGCAGGATCCTATACAGTCACCAACAAAGGTCTACAGGTGTTGGCAGCAGCATCCTTCGAGCGTAGCCTTTTGCTCGATGTAATATCAACCGGTGTGCTGAGTGCCTTTCTACAGCATTCTGCAAAAAATTCAGTATCAGCCATCACACGGTCATTCGTATTAGATGCAGAACTCTCGGGAACCCCAAACCATACCAAGTTGCACTTCCTACGTTCTCTGTCCAGGAACTCGCGGGAGCTTTCGCTAGCAACTTTGGTTAAATCAACTCTCTGTGTCTCTACCTAATTTTTTCCGTATTTTTCAGCTGAGCCTTCACTTCAATCTGAGCCTTCACTTGCATAGCGAGCTCAATTTTTCACTCAACGAGCGCACCATCTCACTCAAGGCGTTTACTACATCATTCAGCGATTTCGTCTCATTGCCTTGCTCTTCCACCGGCTTTTCGCTTTTTCGAATACCAAGAGTTTGTTCATCGCAGTCACAACAAAACCAATGAAGTAATTTAGTTTTCTGGAGAAACGAGTATATTCCTCAGAGCTCAACTTCGTACAGCTGATACGAATGAAGTCTTCGCAGCGTTCACAGATGACCGTCTGATCTACCTCGCTCACTGAGATCTCTTTGCAGTGTTAGCAAACTTTCATCTCCAACTTAGCTGATTTGATTTTGTCTAGCAGAACTAGAGGGCTTTTTCGACTAATTATTTCTCTGTCCAGTCATCGTACAATGCACGCAGGAAAACACAAGTTTAGAACTGAATTGAATTGAGTAGAGTTCAGATTCCGTCGCAGACACGCAACTCGCAGATTGGAAGGCGGTGGAAAGTGCTAGGGCTGCCACGAGAGAGGGGGAGGGTATAGGATGACGAGGCCTGAGCAATTTGTCGTGAATAAAACACTTGTACTAGCCGCTTTTTTTACTGTTCGCACAATTTTTACTTAACTGCGCTGATGTTGAACATTTCACTATAATTGTTTCGGTACAAATTCGAGAGATAAGTCAACCCGGAATAGTACAAAGTGAGAAAATTGGGACCCGCGAACACGTACGTGCGTCATCGATCACAGCCAGAACGCAACCTCAAACGTAAATCATGTGTTGTGTGTCATGTGTTGTAAGCCATGTTGTGCGTCATGTGTTGTAATCCATGTTGTGCGTCATGTGTTGTAAGCCATGTTGTGCGTCATGTGTTGTAAGCCATGTTGTGCATCATGTGTTGTAAGCCTGTCTCTTATACACATCTAGATGTGTATAAGAGACAGGTCATGTGTCGTAAGTCATGTGTCGTAAGTCATGTGTCGTAAGTCATGTGTCGTAAGTCATGTGTCGTAAGACATGTGTCGTAAGACATGTGTCGTAAGACATGTGTCGTGAGTTATTTGTTGTAAGTCACGTGTCGTGAGTCATGAGTCTTAATTCATGTGTCGTAAGTCGTGTCGTAAGTCACGTGTCGTAAGTCATGTGTCGTGAGTCATGTGTCGTAAGCCCTGTGTTGTAAGTTATGTGTCGTGAGTAATGTATTGGAAGTCATGAGTCGTAAATCATGTGTCGCAAGTCGTGTGCCGTAAGTCATGTGTTATGAGTCATGTGTCGTAAGGCGTATGTTGTAAGGTATGTGTCGTAAGTCATGTATTGTTAGTCATGTGTCGTAAGGCGTGTGTCGTAAGGCGTGTGTCATAAGGCGTGTGTCATAAGGCGTGTGTCGTAAGGTGTGTGTCGTAAGGCGTGTGTCGTAAGGCGTGTGTCGTAAGGCGTGTGTCGTAAGTCATGTGCCGTAAGTCATGTGTTGTAAGTCATGTGTCGTAAGACATGTGTTGTAAGTCATGTGTCGGAAATCATGTGTAGAAAGTCGTGTGTCGAAAGTCATGTGTTGTGAGTCATGTGTCGTTAGGCGTGTGTCGTAAATCATGTGCAATGAGTCATGTGTCGTATGTCGTGGCTTGCGCAAGGCACGCCGTGGTTTTCGTATATGTTCTTCCATCCATGCTATGAACTTTGAATATGATTTTTTTGCCCAATAACTCATCGTTTAATGGCTTCTGTCACACACGGTGTGTACTCAAATTAAAAAAATTCATATCCGAGCAACTAGCAAAATTATTCCCGCAAGTGTAATTATGGGGAACGTTGTTTACTGTACAGTTGTGTATTTTGTCTCTGCATCTGAAACTATGCCTCGAGAGTTAAAAGTTTTATCCGTTAAATACCTTGCGAATATCAATTATTGTATATTATTGTGAATAATTACAGGGTCTGCTCTTTCTTTAGGTATACAGATTCTCTCCCTGACTTGATGCGATCATCTTTAGTTTACAAATGCAGTTGTGCGCAATGCGGACCAGTGATGTTGGTATGACGTCACGCAACTTTTATTCTAGACTGGCGGAGCATAAAGGGACTGGCGGAGCATAAAGGGACTGGCGGAGCATGATGCTTGCACATTTCTTTCATTCAGCTGTACGAGATGATGCGGGGCAGTGCAAAGCACCAGCATTCGAGAGCGAGTCCAGAATTTTAGCTTCCATAACCGGAGTCTGACTTACACATTTTAGAATCATTATTTTCAAACAGTTGCCTAGTTCAAGTGCCGCTTTCACTTCTGATCCTATTGAACTTATTAGTAGGATTTGTCTTTTATATGTAAATTTCATCTTTATATCTGCAATGTGAATATTGGTTACAATTAATATTATTTTTATCGGCATTCAATGATTGTCGATCTGACGGTAGAGCTAGACTCCTGGAAAATTTTATTCCATAAAATATTGCGAACATTTGTAGCATTTCATTTGTTTTTAAACTTCTGAATAAATTACTTGTTTAACCATTTTTACTTCCATTAACAGTATAACTTCCATCATTAACATTCTTCCGTTACGCTGCAGATACGTTCACCCTCAATATAGCGGGGCATCGCTTTTTCTGCTTTGGTCTTGCATTGACGGTCAGGCTGGAGTGATGCGACTGGGTTCAAATATTGCGCGGCTTCCATTTAAATATCGAATATTGGCCTTATTGACATAATAATAGAACATTTTTCGTTGTATTTGATTGCTGGCTTCAGCACTATGAGAAGAGCTTACTGTGATTTTCCTGTCAATATCGGCCCCTGTAAAACGTTCCTCACGAAAAAATTGCACGAAATTTGAATATAATTCAACCAGGCAGGGCAGCAAAATATATGTGCATTCAAATCATTTAATGTATGGTTACATTGTATATGTAGATTATATCCCAGAAGCTGCACGTGGCAGTATAACTCGTGAATAATGTATGCAAACGGATAAATATACACTAAAGCTAGGTAGTAATATAGTAAATGCGTGATACCATCATGTTCCTGAATCTATTTTTTATGGGGAAGAGAGAGTGAAACTCGATTATAAAAAAACCGTTACCCAAAGATTAGAACACGCAGCCACAAACATAATCGAAGAAATTCGAAGAAATTCCAAATTGAAAATTGCAACAACTACAATTTTCTGGTCAGCAATCCATCTAAGCGGAAATGAATGGGTTATGCAAGAAGAAAAGTCCTCTGATGCTCAGTTTGTCTTCTTTTTGCTCGTTACAATGTTCTACTGTGACATCACCCGTCCATGTTCTTCCGTGGCATCACCCGTCCATGTTCTTCCGTGGCATCACCCGTCCATGTTCTTCCGTGTTATCACCATCCATGTACTTCCGTAATATCACCATCCATATTCTTCCATGACATCACCCATCCTAGTATTCAGCATCGATGAGACATTCCAATAGTTGATGGTACTGTAACGTAAAACATGAGGCATCAGCGATGAACATTCTGTGATCTCTTATGTTTGCTGCAGTGGTCAGCCACCGTTGAATTTTTATGAAAAGGTCGTTTTCTTTCGTTGTTCGAACTATACGCCACCGTTGGTAATTTTCCCTTGCTATTTAAAAATGTGAGCAATACACATGAGAAACGTTTCATTTCTTTCTAAATGAAATAGATAAGCATATACTTCTACTTACGTTGAAATATTTCATGGTGGATATCTTGCATTTCGGGTACGCAGCAATGAACTTGGCGTCAGCGCTACATTTGTTCTTCAATGTGGTTTCTTTGAAGGCCGCCTCGTCGAACGTGTTGTCTGCCTTCAGCTGGAGAACGGGAGGTGGAGATATGGAGAATAAATGGAAGTTTTGATTTACATTAATTCTTTTGCTCGGCAAGATAATTTCTTTTGTGTTAGATGAGATCGAAAAAAACATTTCAAGCTGATCTTATCTCACGCGATCGTGTGAGCTGTTGCGTAGAAATGTAGGAGCATCGTTGAGGATGATGCAAGGAGAACATGTTCATTTGCCTTACCTGTGATCATTATGTTCTGTACAACCTTTGAAACAATTAAGGGGTCATGCTGATCTCTCTTGCGTCTATTCCAGTTACGGTTGGGGAGACTATCCTGTACACCCGAGTTCGCAGCGAGAATACCACAGCATTTTGTTATCGTCAGTAGAATTATTGAACCGTCAGGTCTGGCCAGTCGCCTGTGCTTCATCCCCCAGTCGCCTGTGCTTCATCCGTCAGTCGTCTGTGCTTCTATCGTCAGTCGTCTGTACGTGCTTCATCCGTCAGCCGCCTGTGCTTCATCCGTCAGTCGCCTGTGCTTCATCCGTCAGTTACTTGAGCTTCTATCGTCAGTCGCCTGTGATTCATCCGTCAGCTGCCTGTGCTTAATAATCGTCTGTGCGTCAGTCGTCTGTGATCCCACAGTCGGCTATATGCACTCCTTCAAAGGACCTTGATTTGTTCCTACGTTAAGTATTCGCGCCTACATCCTTGCCTATTTGTTTATTTTCAATTAAAATTATTGTGTAATGCGTCCAATACTCGACATCTATCCAACTGATTCCGTTCAGTCTCTCCGATACACCGACAGTCTTCACGCTGTCTCGACCCACTTGCCAGGTTTGTGTGCCCCGCAAGTGGGTCCGCCGATAGTTTGTGACTGACATTATCCCCCAAAAAATCGGCCCTACACACGAGACATAAATGCTACTGGCCGTGAGTGTTGCGAGTATGAGACCAGAATTTTGAGCTGTAATGTCCAGTCATGAACTCGGCGCCCAATGTACAGTCAAACTCACAAGTCCTGTAGTCGATGCCTAATGTACAGTCATAAACACAAGTCCTGCACTAGATGCTCAACGTACAGTCATAAACACAAGTCCTGCACTCGATGCTCAATGTACAGTCATAAACACAAGTCCTGTATTCGACGCCCAATGTACAGTCATAAACACAAGTCCTGCACTCGATGCTCAACGTACAGTCATAAACACAAGTCCTGCCCTCGATCCTCAGTATTGTGCTTTACTCACAAGTTTGACTGCTTTGGTCCCGCACTTGTTAAAGTTGGCAACAAGTGGATCACATGTAGCCGCGTCGTAATATAGAGTTCTGCACTTCGGGTCTGAGGAGGAACGATGCTGTCGTTAATGGTGTGTTGGTGGCATCTCATTGCGAAACAACTTATAGGAGTGAAACAATGCAGGGATTCGATTGTTTAGTTAACGTTCGGTAACTCAACAAGAATAATTGAAAAATCAATACGAGTTAGAAGTTAGATGAAAGAAAAGTTCTTGTCCTGTGCTTGTCAATGAGCGAAATGCATGTTTGATTCGTACACTAGAGTATCTGCACATTGCAATATAAATATTTTAGTTCTTGATGAGAATTTTTTAAAATAACCATGGTTTGAAGTGGGACTAAAATAGTTCGTTATAATTATTTAACACTTACTATTTTCAAATTTGTCAATATCCGCCTCGTACTGTGTAGAGCAAGCATCCAACGCTATTTCCAAAGCGTCGCTGGCATCAAACAACGCCAATAAGCAAGGCGAATAGGATCTGGAATAAATTCACAAATTTAATAGTTGCCCCACTTGCATAATCAATCATATCCCATTATCTCTAAAGTTACGTTTTCTTCATCATCAAGTTCGAAATAAGATGTGTTACTGAGAAATTAAATTTTCCCAAGTAAATCATATCAAGTTAATGGGGTAGTTGGCAACATCAATAATCAAATCAAATTTTTGCTTACAATGTGAATAAATTGATTTGATCAAGAAAAATAACACGATGAAGATAGCTCCTGAATTTTGGTCTGGAGAGGAGCACAAGCTTGGCTGAAATCACCGTTTCCGAAAAGTTTTTCTTTTGACCTCCGCGGCATGCAAATCGTACACTGCCGCATTAAAATGTACGAGCACTTTATTCTTCCGCAACCTACATATCTTTCTGGTCCAATAAGTTTGACGAACATGTCCTTCCGCGACCTGAAAATCTCACTGCCGCAATTAAGAGGTACGAACTCCTACATGTGTCGTAAGTCTCCTTCACGCTCCATACAAAGATCAAAGCTGAGTAGTAATGAAATGATGCAATGATCAAATATGAGAAGGAATGCAATGATCAAATATGAGCAGGAATACAATGATCAAATATGAGAAGGAATGCAATGATCAAATATGAGCAGCAATGATCAAATATGAGAAGGAATGCAATGATCAAATATGAGCAGGAATACAATGATCAAATATGAGAAGGAATGCAATGATCAAATATGAGCAGGAATACAATGATCACATATGAGTAGGAATACAATTATTAAATATGAGTTGGAATGCAATTAATGATCATATATGAGTATGAATTTGATGCTCAAACCAGAGTAGGAATACAGTGGTCAAATATGAGCAGGAATACAATGATCACATATGAGTAGGAATACAATGATCAAATATGAGCATGGAATTCAATGATCACATATGAACATATGTGAGAGATATGAGTAGAGATACAGTGATCAAATATGAGTAGGAATACAATGATATAGCCAGGCAGGTCGTTGGGCCTCGAGCTCATGACTTGACTTGTTCTCAGCGAGGACCAAATCTTACAGCGGTCCATGAATTATATTATTCAATTGAATAAGATCCCTTAAATGCTACTCAAGCCTCCAGCAAACAAAATTTGTTGTCATTCACCTGCAAAAGGGCAATGTTCTTCTAATCTATCATTATTAGCAAACATATGGCAAACGTATATAGGGTTGCCAATTGATTACAGTTCGGAATACCAAAACTGTAGCAGTGAGTTGCATGTTTGAGACCCGCAGCAAGCTGTGAATGTTCTGCAATGTTAAGAATCGGCGAAAGGTTTAATGGTCTAGCGAACGCTGACACCGCATTTAATATTAGCTTTTCTATCCGATTATTATCAGGCAAGTATCGAATGCCGTAAGTAGTTCTGATTTTATTTTACACTTTTCCGTATCATGAATTGCCACTTGATTGAATAATCACATTATCATGTCGCCTTCTACAGAATATTAGTATCGTGCTTCATTCTCAAAGTCAAGTATTGATGCTGCCATGTTATGAAGCAAAGCGTCTTAAATATTGGAAGTTACTGTCCTAGTAATCATCAGAAACCTAAAAATAATATGCCTTTAAAAACTACAAAGACAACACCTCAAAGGAGGCCACTGTCTCTGATGTTACACATGTACAAGGAATTTCTTATTTTATTTTTATTAATAAAAAATTTAAATAATTTATCCTGGTAATCGTTTCAAGCATTGTCTTCGAATTTACGCAAGTGAGCAAAATTTCAGATCGATTGGACAGGTAGAATTGTGTTACATGTTGATTATGAGATTTGTAGCAGACAAACAAACAACAAGAAGTAAAGTTAAAGAAAAGTGCCATAATGAATATCAGTAACAATTAATATGGAATATCCTCACAAAAAACTTAGCATCTTTCAGCTTGGCTAATGTAACCGCTAACCACTCATGGCCCTTTGAAGACGTGCTACTTACTGCTGCGCCGACGCTGCTGCCGCGGCGACGATGAGAAGCACGAGACCTCGCGACATCTTGGGGCTATGATCAGGGACTGGACGACAGGGTCTACGGGCTGTTCAAAGGCTCTTGCTGCTGGGACTGCTGAGGAACGACAGGGTCTCCGGGCTGTTCAAAGGCTCTAGCGTACTGGGACTGCTGCGGTACGACAGGGTCTGCGGCCTGTTCAAAAGCTCTTGCTGCTCTGTTACGTTGTTGCGTGTGGCTCTGATTTTATAGGCTTCGATTTATTAGTTCAGGTGCAGTGAGAACCAAATGTAAGCAGCTGCCAACGGACTTGTTTGATTAATGATTTTCATCCTTCTAGTTCACGAAGGCTGGATGTCTCATGAGTGTTTCCATTATGAAAGTTTCTCCCCATTACTCCACCTCTTTTGCAGTAGAGTCGTGACAACCATTATGAGCGAAATATTGAAATTTTACTTGATTATCCCGCCCATATGTTCGAGCGTCGCATAGTCACAGGATTTTCCATGATTATCCTCAGGTCAAATATTCTAAATGTACGTTTTTCTGAATCATTGTGCTTTGTATAATGATACTCCAGGGGCCGTAACGTACTAACTGTCGTTGCCGCGGCTGTAAAATGTACATGTGATATATTCACTATTGCCAACTTAGCTATTTCCTGGCTAGATCTGACTAATTATGGGCTAACCTTGATAGAAAAATTGTATCAAGAGTACAGCCTAGTACATTGTATTCGTATAGTGTGACGTTGTACGGTGTTATTTTACTGTACATCTTGTATAAATCTAGCTTATACTTGTAACTTCTTCATATTTTCTGTTAGATTTATATTGCTTCGAAGAATTTGTTGTACACGACAAAAAATGAGAGGCAAGTCAAAAGAAAAATCGGTACATATCAGTTCGAATAATCTGATGTATGTGTATAGTGTATGAATTTTGTTTACGTATGAAATGATTTAGTGAAACTATTGACCAGTGCTTGCTATGTTGCTCATAATGATAGCCCATAACTGTCAGCACCTATTAGGCCTATATTGTCTAAGAATTTTTGAGTGATGTTCTTCAACGAGACCTCGAGTTCCTATTTCGCCAATAAAAACGTGTTTTTCTGTCAACAGAATAAAAAGGGATGTTCGAGATTTGCACCTAAGTTCCTTATTATCGAGGAAACAGATGTTGCTACTTTTAAATAGAATTCTATCATGTATTGCAACTCTCCTATACTTTAACTTATTTGCAGTTGAATGCGGTGTAGAACTTCACGTCTCTTGCAATCGCTTGGCATTATTCGCAATGTCTAACTGATTCATTGGCAATCTACTTGGCCATTATTGACCACATTGCTGCTTATGAAGTATTATCCCCTTTTCTGCTATCGATATTTCCTTTCATCAAAAAGTCATGACATGCTATAGCTCATGACACTCTTCTACATTCAATACAACAAATACGCTGGCCTTTGTAGACGAACAACGAAGATAGATACGCCAAGTGTTGTACCAAGGACCAAGATGTCTTTAGTTTTCAACATTCCATACGCGACCGCCACGCATTGCATTAATGTCATTTTAGTTCTCAACATTCCGAACGTGACCGCCACACATTAATTGGATTAATGTGTCTTTATTTCTCAACATTCTAAACGTGACCGCCACGCATTGGATTAATGTGTCTTTAGTTTCCAACATTCCGAGCGTGACCGCCACGCATTGGATTTAAGATTTCTAAACTTCAAACATTCTGAACGTTCCCGACACAAATTTAGGTTGTCTGCATTCCCCAACACCCAGAACGTGGCCAAGTGTCAGCGCCGAAAAACTTCACCGGATCATCAATAGGTGAGTACAGCGCATAGTCAAGCTGGGTAGCTGGTGCTGGCGTTAGCGTCTGCCGAGACGACGCATGCATCTCTCAACAAGACGAACAGCTTCGTTGACACAGATGTTCGCGGGCGGTCGTTGGTGCTCGACTTATCAGGCCTGAAGCTCGCTTATTCTTTACATGAACTGATTAATGATTCTTTGGTCGCTTATGTTAATTTGTCATTTAGTTTATTCAAGTGTTGTGCAGCTTCTGCTGTGAGCCACCTTGTGAGTCATGTGTTGTAAGTCGTGTTGTGTGTCATGTGTTTGAAGCCGTATTGTGCGTTGTGTTATAAACCATGCTGCGCGTCATGTGTTGTGAGCCATGTTGTGCATCATGTGTTGCAAGCCATGTTGTGCGTCATGTGTTGTAAGCCATATTGCGTGGCATGTGTTGTAAGCCGTATTGTGCGTTGTGTTATATGACATGTTGCGCGTCATGTGTTGTAAGCCATGTTGTGCGTCGTGAGTTGTAAGCCATGTTGTTTCATGTGTTGTAAGTCATGTTGTGCGTTATGTGTTGTTAGCCATGTTGTACGTCATGTGTTGTAAGCCATGTTGTGTCGTAAGTCATGTGTCGTGTCATGTGTCGTAAGTCATGTGTCGTAAGTCATGTTTCGTAAGTCATGTGTCGTAAGTCATGTGTCGTAAGTCATGTGCCGTAAGTCTTGTGTCGGAACTCATGTGTCGTAAGTCAAGTGTCGTGAGCCATGTGTCGCAAGTCATGTGTCGTAAATCATGCGTCATAAGTCATGTGTCGTAAGTCATGTGTCGTAAGTCATGTGCCCTAAGTCATGTGTCGTGAACCATGTGTCGTAAGTCATGTGTCTCGAATCATGTGTCGTCAGGCGTGTATCGTAAGTTATGTCTCGGAAGTCATGTGTCGTGATCCATGTGTCGTAAGTCATGTGTCGTGACTCATGTGTCGCAAGTCATGTGTTGCGCATCATGTGCCTTAAGTCATGTGTCGTAAGTCACGTGTCGTAAGTCATGTGTCGTAAGTCATGTGTCGTAAGTCATGTGGCGGAAGTCATGTGTCGTGGAGCATGTGTCGTGAGTCATGTGTCGTAAGTCATGAGTCGGAAGTCATGTGTCGTGGGTCATGTGTTGTAAGTCATGTGTCGTAAGTCATGTGGCGGAAGTCATGAGTCGTGGATCATGTGTCGTGAGTCGTGTGTCGTAAGTCATGAGTCGGAAGTCATGTGTCGTGGGTCATGTGTCGTAAGTCATGTGTCGTAAGTCATGCGTCGTAAGTCATGTGTCGTAAGTCATGTGTCATGAGTTATGAGTCGTAAGTCATGTGTCGTAAGACTGTACTTATGACCCAGATATTTTCATAACTTCGAGGGTCAAGTTCGAGCCGTGGTCGAGAGCGGATGCACGTGTTTGTGGTCCAATATTTTTAACTTTTACTGTGCCGTTTCGGAGCATTTTTCGCATTTATTTTAATGGACCGTGTCAGTAAATGACCGAATTTCAGTGAAGTCAGGAAAAAAGAGTGCAAAAAGAGAGAACAAGCATATAGTAAAAGTGTTTTATCTTGAATAACGTGAGCTTATAAAGTGAGTGAGGGAAACGCGTGAAACGAGCGAAGAAAGTATGTGCCGTTCCAGCTGAACACGAGACAGCAAAACCTTCGTTTTCGCGCAAACTCAGCCTACCTCTACCCTGAACACCTTTATGCCCGCCAACCCCAACCCTTCGCTATCTGAAAGCCGCTACTCTCGAGTCGGTAACCGAGTTGTACAGTACTTTGGAAATGTTTAAAATGTTACTCAACCTGACTAGGTTTTCAACTTGTGTTTTTGCTCTTGCATGTCATGAAGGCTACGACAATAGTGAGAAAAACGGCTAGTACCAGTGTTTTATTCCAGACAAATAACAGTGCATGAAACGAGGGCAAGTTTTGTAGCTTGTTGGGAACCCTCGGCGACCTCCTGTCACGGAGAACGACAGTGCCTTGAGTACGCTCAGGCCTCGCCTTCCTATACCCTCCCCACCCTCTTGGCTCCCACACCTCTCCCTCTCCACCAGCCTCACGCGTCGATCCTTTGATTCCCCCAGATACCCCTGTCTTTCCCTCACCAGCTGCAGCTCAGCTGTTCCTCCAGCCGAAATTGTTTGAGGGAACTTTACTATACTCAACTCAACTCAATTCAGTTTTGTATAATTCTCCGTCCTTTTCTGTATTTTTTCAGTCCTTTTCTCCGTTCAAGAGATATAGTTCGTTTATTTAATAATGGCTGGACAGAAAATAAAAAAGATAGTCGAAAAGCCCTCTACGGCCTCTAGAGAAAAGCCCTCTACGGCCTCTAGAATAAAAAGTAAAACCAAATCAGCCAGCTAGAGATGAAAGTTTGCAAGTACTGCAAAGAGATCTCTCTGAGTGAAGTCCAGACGGTTACCTGTGAACGATGCAAAGATCTCATTTGTGTCAGCTGTTCGAAGTTGAGCTCTAAGGAGTACTCATTTCTCCAGAAGTCTAAATTGTTCATTGGTTTTGCCGTGATTGCGAAAAATCAACTCTTGGTGCTCGAAAAAGAGAGGAGTCGGTGGAAGAGCACGGCAATGATTCGAAATTGTTGAATGATGTAGTAAACTCCTTGAGTGAGATGGTGCGCTTGCTGAGTGACAAGCTGAGCTAGCTATGCAATGAGCAGACTGAAGTGAAGGTTCAGTTGAAAAATACGGAAGAAATGGAAGTAAAGAACAAGACAGCTGATTTATCTGAAGTCGCTAGTGAAAGCTCACGTGAATTACTTGATAGAGAACGTAGGAAAGCCAACCTGGTCTGGTTTGGGATTCCTGAATGTAACGCATCTGATGCGAAGGACCGAGTGATAGATGACACGGCATTTGTTGTAGACTGTTGAAGCAAGGAACTCAACACATCGATTGATGTTATATCTTGCAAGAGGCTACGATCGAAGGATGCTGCTGCCAACACCTTCAGACCTCTGCTGGTGACTGTAAAGGATTCTGCTCAGGTCTGAAGCGTGCTGAAAACAGCGAGAAAGCTTGGAGAATCCGTTGATTACAAGTCAGTTTTTGGAAAGAAAGATTCCAACCCCCTTAAAAAGGGCGGGTTTTCGCAAGAAGTGACAGGAGAGAATCAGGCGGAAAGGCACGGAAAATCAGGTCAATCACTTCCAAGCTGCCAAGACAACACCGGCTGCTCACGGACAGTCAGAGGAGATGGAGGACAAGTAATAAGTAGGAATGATGTCCGTAGATCAAGGCCTGTAAATAATGTATCAAGTAACCGCATACATCAAAGTGAAAGTGCACAAAAAATTTTAAAATGTTTTTACACGAACTCGGATTCCGTTTTGAACAAAAAAA